CCCCTATCCTTAACAATTTCGTGCAGCACCTCTCCCAAGGGTTCCAAGCTCCCAAAAATCATTAAAATCCATAACCAAACTCAACAACAACAAGAGTAGTGAAAACTACATCAAAAACCATAAACATACCTTGTTTTAGAGCTTGATCTTGCATGGGACTACTTGGCCTTTCTTTCTCCCTCTTCTTTCTCTCTCTAGAAACCATTTTTCTGGAGCTTCCCTAAGGTTTCCATAAGGTTGGACGAAATGACGGGTGGGGAGGTGGTATTTATAGAAAACAAGACTGGATCTGGGCCGTTGATCTTAAGAATACGTGGCTTGATCTAGGCCATCCATTTTCTCTTTTAATCTTGTGATGACAAGTGTCCCATGACATCATGCTTACATCATCACTCCACATGCTTTTAATCCGACCGTACACGTGTCTTGCATCCAGCCGTACACATAATGCATTCTTTTCCCATCTAACCATACACTTGTCTCTTTAATTTTCCTTCATCATTAATGTATTAAAATAGGAAAGAAATTAATATAAAATTTGTGCAAAATACAACCCTTAGGCATTCCTCCACTTATCTTGCCATTCTACACCGTATAGGATACTTTTTCGGGTTCTGACTTTTCTGCGACCACTAGGACATGTTATGGCACCATTTTCTCACCTCAAATAAATCCACATGGCATTATATAACATGCCCAAAGAGGGAGTGATGCTCTTCCCTTATTTTTCCATTACAATAATTAAAATAATTAATCATATTTATTTCGAAGTAAAACTGAATTCCTTCTACCAGTCTACGACTTCGAGAATTTGTCTCTAAGTACCAATACTATTTATTCATCACAGGGAATTTCTCTAATTTTTGTTAAGTCAAAAGTCAACCTCTAGACATTTAACTTTGACTTTCCCCAAATAGCATGTAAATAGGTTTTAAATTCCATTAAAGCCAACCTCTTCGCTTTCTGGGGATGAAACTATTTTTAAAACCTGTGATAATTCCTCCAGTATCTTCCCCCATTTCCTTCCAATTATCTAAGGCCTCCCTATACTTTAAAAAATTCCTTTTTAATAATATTTCAAATTAGTCAAAACCTTAGGGATTCCACAAATTCTTTCGAAGGGCATTTTTGTCATTTTTAGCTTTATACAGGCCTCTAAACCTTATTCCCATTTTTTTAGAATTTTTCTAAAGTGTTCAGGCCTTAACCTATTATTTTCCATTTTCTGGAATTTTCAGGCATAATTTTCATTTTTATCCTTACTAGCCCAAAACTTTACAAAATTACAATTTTACCTCTAGTTTGGCTTAACCTCAAAATTCACCTCATTGAGGCCTCCAGCATAACGTTTGGCCTACATTTATCTTCATTTCTCATTCCTGGGCCTTGAGGCTTCTTTTGAGTCTCTAACTTCCTTTTTTCTTAGTCCCGGAAAATTTTCCCTTTGCAATTCAGTCCCTGGGAATCTCTCTGTCCTTCTAGGGATACTCGAGGACCTCTACCAAAAAGGGTCTAGTAATCTGCCTATTTTAGGCTAATTTTGATACTTCTAAGCCTAAAATTCGGGATGTGACAGCTTCCAATTGAAATCCCATTTAATAATGATGCTCCTCATTTAATTCAATCTTTTTTAAAACCTAATTAAGACATTATTCAAATCCAAAATTAATTATTAATTTCGTTATTTGAGCCTCCGATTGAAATTCTATTTAATAATAATACTCCCCATTTAATTCAATATATTCAAATTCCAATTAAGATATTATTCAAACTCAAAATTAATTATTAATTTCTTCATTTGAGGTTGTAATTCAAATCCTATTTAATAATAATAATTTCCACCATTTAATTCAATATATTCAAATCCAAAATTAATTATTAATTTTTCTATTTGAGCCTTAAATTGAAATCACATTTATAGAATGCTCTCCATTCAATTTAATATATTTAAATCTCAATCAAGATATTATTCAAATCTCATTAATTGAATATATTCAAATATCAAAATTAATTATTAATTTCTTCATTTGAGCCTCTCTTGAAATTTTATTTAATAATGATGACCCCTATTTAATTCAATATATTCAAATTCTAATTAAGATATTATCCAAATTTAAAATTAATTATTAATTTCTTCGTTTGAACCTTTAATTAAAATCCCATTTAATAATGATACTCCCCATTTAATTCAATATATTCAAGAGAGAATCCCAATTAAATTTAGTTGAAATACAAAAATTCAAAATTAGGCTTTCATTTTGTACAGATTCCTAATTAGGCCAAAAGGCATAATTAGGGATTTATGAATGTTGTTAAAAGTCCAAAATGCACCTCTGTAATTAAAATGAATTGTTAATTCTATATTTTTCTCCCCCATAAATCCTTTTTCTAAAATATGAAAATAATAAAACCATAGTAGATGACATGAAGTTACAACATTGTCCTCAATTCACATTATTAATCACTCTAGCACCCTAACCAATCCGTAAAAATTTTCGGTCCGAATAAAGGGTCAAATGGTTCATATTTCTCTATTTGGTCCTTAACGCAGTGGCTTTTCAAATATTTTCTGTTTTATTCATGACCATCGCATGCCTTTTTGACTATTTCAGAAAATAACAACTATATATTATGATCCTTTGTCCCTGCTATTTCACCAGTTTTCCAAGTGTGCGTGTGTATATATTATTAAGTATATGGGGGATGGATCAATATTAAAATTAAGCAAAAATCAAAACCATCGGAGTAATTATTAATATGGAACAATGATTGTGTTGTATTTTTTTTTTTATCATTTACCAAAGATTTACTATTTTTATATTTCAGGAAAAGAATTTGTGAGGTAGAAAAAGAATTTATGAGAGAGAAAAATATAAAGTTAACAAAAAAAAATAAAAAATTACTAAAAAGAATGTAAAGGTAACAACTCATATTTCAATTACAGAGGGCGTTCCAGACTTTGAATAACATTTATGAATTCCTAATTAGGCCTCTAGTCCTAATTAGGAATTTGTTCAAAGTATAGGCCTGGTTTTGAATTTTAGTATTTCAACTAGATTTAAATGGGATTCTTCTTATATTCAAATCCCAATTAGGATATTACTCAAATCCGAAATTAATTTCTGACCAAAAAAATAATCCAAAATTAATTGTTAATTTTTTTTAATTTAAACCTTCAATTGAAATCGTATTTAATTATAAGGCTATTGCTTCCTATTTAATTCAATATATATACACTCAAATCTAATTCATTGAATATATTTAGATCCCATAATATTATACCCGACTCATTTTTAAATTTATAGGGTATTACAAGATGTCAAGAGTATAGCTGATGCATGAGTGATTTTAAGTACATATTTTGAAAAACAATCCTTATTAGTTATTACTATATTTTTTTTTAATCTTTTTCTATATAATCATTTCTTTTTGGGCATAAAATGGCATATAGAAATAAAACAGGTGAGGAAAATCACAATTCATGAAAAAAATATAGCTGAAATAATTTAAGACTTGTAATAGTTTGAGATTCAGAAGCGACCGCATTATCAGGTGTCCGAGTCAATATTACTGATTTGGCAAACGCCGCATAGAACGGTTATGATGGGAAGTCCCTAAAGAACCTTTGTCATGCATTTCTCATGCCTTCAATCTAATCACAATTATTAAAACAAACATTCTTAACAATTTAGACCCAAAAGAGCGCACACATATTCACAAGCTGCTTCATAATTTTCTTCACCGATTTCTCTATCACTACCAGGTACGCTTTCCATCCACAATATATAAACTAGCAGATTAAGATTAATTTAGCTATATATTCAAATTATCACATTACTTTCTGATTCATAATTTTGGTTCTATGAAATTTAATTTCATTTGTCATGCTATTTTCAATGATCTGTAAATTCCATCGCCCTTTTAAGAATGAAGCAATTCGGAGAACCTTATGAAAGAATCATTCTGTGCTTATTATATATCGGTTATCTTCTGCCCCTGTTTCCTGCATTTATCGGGAACAATTTTTTTTTTGTTTATTCGAAAACTTTTTCAAAAAAAAAAAAAAGGTCTTCATTGCTACAGCCATCGATGGACAACGTAAATGAGAAATTTCATTTCATTATAATAGCTGAAAAATAGCCCAGACAAATAGGAGTTGTAAGTTTCCACTTGTTTCTCAGAAGCATTAAAATGATATAGTAATATTCCATGTTTTTACCATTTCACATATTTTCTCTCTTCACTCAATAATGTCTATAAAATATTATTGCTTATCAAATCACTCTACCAGATTCTTTCCTAAATGACTTTGCTGAAGATTCATGTCTTTCCACGGGAACATTTAAATAAACATAATCTGTGTAATTATGCACTTTATTTTCCTTATCTGAAACTTCATCTGGACTTGGATTTGGTTTTACTATTTGTGAAATAGCTATATTAATTCGATTCAATCTCTCGGCTCCAAGAGGAGAAAACACGTAGCCAATGAGAGTCACATACGTGTCATGATTGGCTAAGTGCCTTTTCTCTCTGAAGAGGCTCCTACTTGCTAGATGCCTATATACTACTTTGGGTCTTAAATATAAGAACTAGTTAAAAATTTAATTTTGTCCTAAATATAATACCACAATTCACTTTGTGTCATTTATTTATTTATTTTTTCTCAAAGTAGTTCCCATAATGATTACACATATTAAATGTTTTATATTCTAATGCACATGATTAGTAAGGGCATCTAAGGGAAAACAATACTCATTTATTACAAACAACTAACCTAACTAATTTTCTTAATATTCGTATAGTAATTGTCGAACTCTTATATTGAGACCTCTCTTTTTATAGAGACTCGTACTCCCCGAGGTAGTAGCGATCGGCCACATATATATCTTATTATTAAGAACAACTCTTAATTTGATGACAGCATATATATAATTTTTGAAGCGTGCGAGAACCGATTGAATTCATTTGACATAGGAGATAGAAAAAAGGAGAGGGCTATGGAAGATTATGGGGAGAGAGCAGAGTTGAGGAGAATGCAAAGGGAGCAAGAAAGAGAGAGGCGACGAATAAGAGATAGGGAAAGGAGACAGTCAATGACTCAAGAACAAAGAGAAAGGCATCTTGCTAGAAGAAGAAGGAACTACCAACTCAGAAGACAGAGAGCTGCAAACAACAACAACAGAATCTGTTTTCCTCTTGATGAAACCGATGCAGCCGCCACCACTAGCCATGATGGCCATGGCCAAGCAAGCTTTATTGTTCCTTGTTCCATTTCAGACTATAGGGTCCTCCAAACTGAATCATCAGAGCAACAATCTTCGCATTACATTGATGGTGAGTTGAGTTTTCTTTCTGGTTCTTGTCCCAAGAAACTCTTACTATTCTAAGTACCTCGTATATAAGTGAATTATATTCTGACCTGAAAAGATATTCCCAATTTGTCTGAAATTATTGTGATTTTCTTCAGAAATTGGTCATATTTTAATTTATTCCCTCATCATAAGCAATTCATTCATGGATTCAAAATGCTTGCAAAGTTTTGCATTCAAATTCTGTAGTTATTATATATATTGCTTTGTTGCTAATGTGCAATAAATAATTAATAGGATCGTCATCAGGAGTAGTTCATATGGAAGCTCTAACATATAAACCAACGAATTTACCAACAAGGTTGCGTCTGAGTCATATAAGACAACTTGCCCGAAACATGATACACTCAATTGCTGATCATCATGATTCTCAAATTGGGATTCACCAAATTGTTCCACACTTGATACCTAACGGGGATCTCTCATCTCAGGGTAAGTTACATGATAAACCTTGTATTTGTACTCACACATAACACACACACACAATAGACACATATGTATCAAATACAAGTATACTCTGGTCTTTAATACAAGATCTGCTTATTTATAAAAAAAAATAGTTAAATTAGTTATTTATAAAAAAAAATATGTGTTAGTTTACTTAAAATACATTTTAAATTATTTGCATTGAAATTATCTCTTGATGCAATTACATAACATTTGCAATTAATATGGATATTTTGAAAAAGGAATGATAAATGTAAACGATAAAATTGATTAAGATCTTATATTTAGGACCAAACTCAACTCCCAACTAGCTCTTGTACCACCTCTGGTCCTTAATATAATTAAGAGATAAATAACTAACTTACAAATATTAAGAAAGTTAAGTTAATTATTTATAATAAATGAATGTTGTCATCCTGAAAATACCCTTGTTAATGTCCATTAGAGCTACACATCGATGGAAACTCTTTAACATGTTTAATCACCATAGAATTACTTGGGACAATATAAATAAATATTAGAGACAAAATGGATTGAGATATTATATTTAGAATCAAATTGAATTTCTAACTAGCTTTTATGTTAGTATTGGATTTCATATTGAATCGGTCATTAAATTCATAGAATCCTGACTGCGTATGACACTTCTTTTTGCCTCATCATGATGAATTTCAGGTAGCATACGAAAGTCCTTGCGATTGAACCGCGTGAAGCAGCTTGCACGATCGCTGAATTCGCCTTCCAAAGAGATTTCAGCTCAGAGCCAGAATGATAAAGTGCAACAAGCAAATAATGTAACCTTCCCAGGAACGACTTATGGTGACGGATTCAATTGTTTCTGAAAGAGTTAGTTATCAAAATGTACTAAGGCATTCTCTTGAAACCTACAGTTAAGGTTAGGTGCTACAATGACTCAGTATAAGTTAGGACTATAAATGAAGAAAAGCAAGACAAAAAGAAAAACAAAAGAAAAGAAAACACATGTTAGAAATGTTTTTCCCCTTTGCATCCCAACAAGGATTTTGAATCCACTAGCTAGTAGCTTGATATATAATAGATGGTTGTTTGGTAAACACAAATTGGGAATAACGCAAGTATATGTGTCGATTAAGTAATAAAGAGTGAGTATAGAGGATCGTTCCTACAAAGAATCGAACAAAGTAGAATTTAGGCATTAAAGTTCCTATTTTCAATCAAGTTAAGCAAGCTAGATTATGATTGCTTGGTTTAGGGGAAAAAAAATTCAACATTAAATGCAACATAGAGTCATGAATACCTTCCTCATTTCATAGATTTTTGCTTTCATTTAATTAATTAATCTCAATGTTAATTTAGTTAATTTAAAATATTTATAGCTACAAGTGTCTTTCAATCTATTTATAGCTATCTCACAGGTTAACAAGATTATGTCAACTCAAATACCTAAGAGGACTAATTTCAATCTTTATCAATTATATGAGGCTCTTAGGTATATTTCTATCATACTTGCAAACTAAATAAAAACCTAATATCATATTACTCAATCCTAGAGTCTAATTAAGATTTCCTTCGTCAAGGCTAACCTCAATGCTCAAACTCATATTTAATGATGGCCAAACATTAAATAGATATATTAAACTAGGATTAAGTAACTAAAATTGATATCAAGCATAATTAATTAAATAAAAACAAAGTCTAATCAACACGTAAGTTCATGGCTACTCTAACACTGTGTTTGGCTTGATGGAGGGGAGGAAGTGGAGGGATTTTAATGAAGGAGAGGGGAGGGGAGAAAAGAGAAGGGTAGCTAGAGAGGGGAGGGTATGGAAAGAGAAAGGAAAGGAGGGATTTTAATGATTCCTTATTTGGTCTAGAAGAGGAGGGAAGGAGAGCCAATAAAAAATTGACTATTTTAATCTTATAAGGTTAAAATAAATTTTTTTCACTTTTCTATTCTATCAAGGTATAAATATGTATAATGCAATTCACCAAATTTAATAAAAATTATTTAAGTTGCATCAAAATTAAAATTACAAATTATATACCAGTTTTATTCAAAATAACAATAATAATAATAATATTTTTAATTGAACCAAGCTCAAAAACGTGTTAAAAAAATATATGGAACATGTGTACCAATATATATTACAATTAAAGTAAACATCTATACTTCCAAAATAAAAAGATCCATGTGAAAAAGGATGTACGAACAAATATATCATCCACATTAAAAAAGAATTCAAATAATGATAACATGACATAAGACTACTCCTAATGAGAACATGAAGAAAATCTAAACACCATATCCATGATTACTACTTTACGTGCAGGAAGTGGGCATCGAACAACTGCTCAACTTGTCAACATCACTTATGAGATAGTTATAAATTTGAGGCTTTTTGTTAGCATCAAATCCACATTCACTTATCAAATGCCAAATTTTTTCACTTGACATGGGTGGAATCTTGTGGATAAAACTCTCTCTCTCTATAACATTTAACTGTGTAATAAATCATTTTCTCGATTCAAAACATCATGAATTAAATCATGACCTCAAGCTAATGCTTCATTACCTTCTCTAATTGTTATTGCCATGTCAGATACTATGCTCTTCACTATGTTGAGATCAATCTCCTTATCTTAAGCATGCTCTTTCCTTCTCTTTTTACCACAATCGCCAGTTGCTTATTGTGCCTACTTAGAAGGTAAGAGATTTTCTATACCAGTATCACCATCACTTAAAATCTCAACACCAACTAATGTGTATTGCTTTTAAGACATAAGTTGATCCAGGTCATTAATAATTTCATAATCTACATCCATAAGGGATGAATGGTGTCATTTTCACTCCTTTGCTGTTAGAGACTCATCTCTACCAGTTCTATCAACTCTGTATAAGATCATCATCTTATTGTAATTAGGAAACGGAGTATTTCACCAAATTGCAACCTTTGATTTAGATTGAGATAATACATGCACATATAAAAAAAAACATAATTTAAGTTTCACCAAAAAAAAAAATCAACCATGTATAAAATGTAAAAGTCATACCTGAATTAGAGCCTCCCAAACTTGAGGCTTAGCATCCTATAATTGAGTTGATACAACCCAAGCAAAACCACTCAAGCCAATTTTAAATATATCATAAACTTCTGAAAAGTTTCTTTTAATGTCTTTCAATGATTTTTTATTTTGTCCTTGTTAATATTCCTGTCAAATTGTGCACTTAACACTTGGGCAATGTTTTCATAAGCTATAGTAGTAAATGTCCCATTAACTTTTTGACCATGTTTGTACTCATATATGAAGGCATTAATAAGGGCATCATCCATAGTCCTTGTCCAATTGTGCAACTCCTTGCCATTATTTGATCTTGTTGCCATTCTATAGTTATGTTCATTATAGCATAATAAAATTTGAATTAAAAAATAGAGATAGGTCTAGACTCAATCAAATTAATATTATAAATCATTCCAATAATAACAAATATAAGTACTAAAAATGAAAGTCAATGGAAGAAATACCATAAATTGATCTAAAAATACCAAATATAAGACTTAAAAATGAAACTCAATCAAATTAAATATATAAATTCTAGAAATAACAAATATAAGTACTAAAAATGAATCATGATTAAATATATCAATTAATCAATGAGCTTGAGCTTGATAAGCCATTCACATTTGATTAGCTATATTTTCTTTAATAAGCTCACCTTGAGTAGCTTCCACACCCTCATTATTTGGAGCACAACTATCATCATTTTCAGTTGAATTTGCAAGTTTCTCATCCACTTCTGATAAGATCTTCATCAAGTTTTGTAGTCATCAAGTAATTATGAAGAATGCAACATGTAAGTATTACAAATGTTTGAGCTTTGACCCCATAAGTGGGCTTTGATGAGCTAGACAAAATTTGAAACCATTTTTCTATACTCCAAATGCTCTTTCAATTACATTTCGTAATGATACATGCCTTAGATTGAATAGTTCCTTGTGATTGTGGTGGATTTCTTGAATATTCTTTTAAATGATATCAAACTCCTCTATAAGTTGTGATAAGTCACCTTATTAACATGAAACCGGCATCCACAAGGTAATATTTTCCCATAACGAATGAATATAGTTAATATGAATGGGTGACAGTAACTTGATTAATTGGATTAATTTTAAAATTACCCAAACAGGGGATTCTAAACCTGTCTTCTTGAGTCGATGCATTCTTTAAAATTCTTGAGTCAAATGCCCCGTGCCTTTCTACCCTAGGAGCACATAAGTAAACCTTAGATCAAATGAGCATGTTGCTAGAACATTTTGTGTTGGGTACTCTTTCCTACTATGATATTTAGGGGTATCTGCTAGGAATACTTTAACACTTATATGTGGCTTATCTATTGCATCAACCTAATCTTTGAAAAAAAAAGAGGAAAGAATTCACCCTTATTACGAATCTCAAGAAGCACTGAAGAACCATTAGGTTGTACTGAAAATTTTTCTTCTAATTCAATAATAGTGTCTAATACTTTATAGAGATGACGACTAATTGTCTCACCAGACCTTTGAAAAATAAAGTTAACTACATAATTTCTTGCTTTATGTGTCAAAATATGAAGAATCTTAACAATTTGTTCTTCCACACTTGCCATTGTGTGGCTTATAAGCCACCTTCTCTCTCTCTCTCTCTCTCTCTCTATAATATGCAACATAATTTTAAAAAGGTTTTAGGACCCATTCTAATCATGTCTCGACCATTTCTACTATTAGCTATTCGAGTCATTACTTCTTCACATACTCTTTCTCTTTTGGAACTCATATTATAACATAGTATTTTTCTTATTGCACATATGAGTCACTTAGCACCATATGATAGCACAAATGACTTTGAACTATAGTTCTTCAACTCAATTCCAAGTATCGATGAACTACCATAAAGTATTGAATAAGCATTTAATGAACCGACATATATCTATGCCTTACCAATTCAATCTAGAAAAAAATTAAAAAAAATTACTTCTAATCAAATCATAGATACCTTGATATTAGTTATCGAAATATATTCATGATTGAAGGTCTCTCACTACTAGATTGATGATAGTATCACACATATACTAGTCAAATTTGAAAGGAAAACAAATTAAAAACTCTAAATGTGTTAATATAAAGTTGTCAACCCAAACTTCTATTCTCCCAAGTATTAAGTAGGACTCTACAATAACCTAGGACTCAAAACTCAAAGCCATCTTGCATTTAATATGTATCCAAGAAAATATTTTGTCAAACTATATCTACAATCAGTATTGAAAAAAAAAATTTGTGCATCATGATTGGATGAAAACCATTTAAGTTCATAAGCATTATGGAAAAACTTAATAAATCTACCAAAAATAAAAATCAAAGGACTACCTCAAGTAAGTTTAAAAGATTAATTTATAAGCTGAGAATGTAGATTAATTTACTAATGTGAAGCTAAAAAGGATAATAACAAATAGCAATATCGTTTTGGGTCTCTAATATAGCATAATGGTTTGCATGATGATTTCCAAAATATATATTAAATAAATCCGATTAAATAATCATATCTCACATAATCCCTTTATCCTTTGTACAAAACAACATTTTCAAACCAATTCCCTTTTTAATTAATTACAGCCAGAACAAGTATTTTAATTGAAAGATCAAATACAATGACAGAAATGTATAAAAGATCAATGTAACAACCCCTTCGTAATTCGTGGTAACTAAACATTTTCAAAGCGATAATTACTTCGAAAGGTTAACTATGTTAGGAAAGACAAAATAAATCGAATAGAAATTTACCATAGTCATTAAAAATATACATTCATAACAGTGCAGTAGCCACTAAT